TTTGAAATTTGAAACACTGTTCCTTTCTCAGTAAAACTTGAAACTTAAACTGAAACAAAAGGGAAAAATAAAGAAGAAGAAGAAGAATCCATAGCTTCCTCCACAGTTCCATCAGCAAGCAGAATCAAATTGGGGATATTACCCCCAAATTTAAATTTTAGGGTTCACGAAAATTAGAGATTATTCTCCACTTAGGGTTCATAAAATTGGGTAATTTGAATTGTTTAAAACAAAATTAATCCTAATTTTCATAATTAGGGTTCTATAAATTAAACAGACATGAATCAAATATGGGCGACTCGATACCAATTGTTGGAAAATTAAAAATAATAATAATAATAATATTAATCCTGATTTTGATTCTAACTATCAAACATAAACATAATCCCATACTCGATAAACATGTTGTAAACTCGAATGCGAAAGCGTACACGAATTAGTCATAATGATGATGTCTTTGTAGAGCACTCGTATTGATCTTATGGTCTTCCACCTGAAGAACACCTGTATTTCCCTCTTGATTTTCTCTCTTGATGGGGATAGAAAGAAAGGAACAAGACTGATACTTACGTTCTGTGTGTGTGCTCCCAAAAGGGGACCATGACCCTTTAGATAACCAGAATTAGGTTAATTACTTAAGTTTTAGTATTTCCAATTTGATCCTTCATCAAATTAGAAATTTCTCAATGGTCTCTACACAATTTTATTTTCATGACATATGTTTTTAGCCAAAACTTTAATTTAGTCAGATCACTTTATTATTTGGCTTAATAAATAATGGCCCTAACACATTTAAATTATGTATCATATATATACATGACCCAAATTTTGCCAACATTAATCACATTGAGGCACCGAAAGAAGAACCCCCTGATAATCAAGAAGTGAGACTGTCTCAGTCACAGTATCAAGCTCTCATGACATCAATTCAACAATCAGGAATAAAACCTGATGCATCCATAGCTCAACCTACTATGTGCTCCCTGACTTCACAAAACATGTTAAGCAAAAATGAAGGTAATATCCATCCAACTATTAATAATATCAATGGTAAATTCAGTACTTGGATACTTGACTCCAGTGCCACGGATTATGTATCTTGTTCCTTATCCAATTTTCTTTATCAAAAGCAAATCAAATCTGTTATGGTTAATCTTCCTAATGGGAAGTGCACTTATGTCAATCATATGGGAACTATGAAATTGAATAAATAGTTACAATATTATATCTGTTTCGAAACTTGCTACTGATAATGATTACAAATTATTTTTTCATTCAAATTCTTGTTTTATGTAGGACAGTAAGAACAACACGAAGATTGGTTCAGATGAGATAAGGAATGAACTCTATATACTAAGACTGAGTGATGAAAAACAGTGCTTTACAAATTCATTCAATATCTTGAATAATCATGTTTCCAGGAATCTATACATTTGGCATGCAAGATTAGGACATTTATCCTTCAAACGTTTTAACATCTTGAAACAAAAATTTTCTTACATTAATACCAATAAAGATTTTGTATGTAATGCATGTCAGTCTACTAAACAAAGAAAACTTCCTTTTCCTATAAATCTTTCTTATACAAAAGCTACTTTTGATCTCATACATGTAGATATATGGGGGTCTTGTGCTGATGTTTCTATGCTAGGAAACAAGTATTTCCTTACCATCGTGGATGATTATAATAGATTTACATGGATATATCCCATGAAATTGAAATCTAAAGCTCGTAATTACGTTAGGAGCTTCATTGCCTATGCCAAGAATCAATTCCAGACAACTATAAAATGCATAAGACAACTATAAAATGCATAAGGTCTAATAATGGGTTAGAATTCAGTATGACAGACTTCTTCAATAAAAAGGGTATCATCCATTAGACCTCTTGCATAGAAACACCCGAGCAGAATGGGATAGCTGAAAGAAAGCACCAGCATATCCTCAATGTCACGCATGCTCTTCTTTTTTAGTCCAATCTTCCCCGAAAATTTTGGTGCTATGCAGCCTTACATGCGGTACATTTAATAAACTGTATCCCTACACCCTTGCTCAATAATTCTTCTCCTTTTGAAAAACTGAATGGCAAAGATTGTGATATCAGTAATTTGCGCATATTCGGATGTTTTTGTTATGCTAATACTCTAATTGTCCAAAGGAAAAAGCTGGATCCTATAGCAAATCCTTGCATTTTTCTTGGATTTCAAAACAACACAAAGGGATATTTGGTGCTTGATCTTGTCACCCACAAAATAATTGCTTTAAGAAATGTGGTCTTTTTCGAAAATATATTCCCCTATAGTAAGAATATAAACTCCGAAAACGAAGGTAATTGTCTCTCATTGCCCAATAATGTTGTTAATAGAATTCATGATGATGTAACATTACCTGAGTATAGTAATAATGCTGATAGTAATGTTTCGGAATCATATGATACCACTCACAATGAAATTGAACTATCTAATGAAATTGAAAACAACAACGATGAATTAAATGATACTGCTTACAGTGACAGCGAATTGTTTGATATAGCTGACAATAAATTAAATCTTCCTAGAAAATCCTCGAGGATGAAACAACAACTTGGTCATTTGCAAGACTATTATGTTACCATTAATCATATAAATCCTAAGAATCATCTTCAAAGCAAATACGAAATTGGAAAATATATCTCTTATAGCAGGTTATCAAAAAGGTTTTTTATTCTATCTATTGACACTCAAAAGGAACCAAGGACATATCAGGAAGCTTGCCAACATGAATGCTAGAGAACTGCTATGAGATCTGAGATTGAAGCCTTGCAGAATAACAAGACTTGGACGATTACCTCCCTTCCATCCATCGAATAAGACTCCTATAGGATGTAAGTGAGTCTTCAAAATCAAGTATAAGACTGATAGTACTGTTGATAGGTACAAGGCGAGATTAGTTGCCAAAGGCTACACACAGTTGGAGGGCCTTGATTTCCTCGACACTTTCTCACTTGTAGTCAAGCTAACCACGGTTAGAACCTTATTAGATGTAGCCGCTGCAAATGGATGGGAATTAAAACAATTGGACGTCAACAACGCTTTCTTACACGGAGACTTGCATGAGGAAGTGTTTATGGAAGTACCGCCTGGGATGACGGGAATCTCACCAAGAAAAGTGTGTAAGATGTACAAATCTTTTTATGGTTTAAAACAGACAAGTAGGCAATGGTATGAGGAATTATCCAGCTTCTTGTTATTACATGGATATATTCACTCTAATGCAGATCATTCCTTATTTCTGAAATGTGATGAAAATGATAAAACTATGATTCTTGTATATGTAGATGATATTATACTTACGGGTAATAATGTTTCTGAGATTGAGAGAATTACAGATTTGCTGAACAAGGAATTTAAGATAAAAAATATTGGAAACTTAACTTACTTCTTAGGTATTGAAGTCGCAAGGAACTCGACCGGTATTCATCTATCGTAAAGACGGTATGCTCTCGATCTCTTAGAAGAAACAGGAATGAGTTCATGTGCTCCTGTTCCTACTCCCATGGTTCTCAATGTTAAACCTTCCAACAATAATGAGTGCCCGTTAATTGACATTGTTGCTTTCAGAAGACTTATAGGAAGGTTGATTTATCTCACTAACACTAGATCTGACATCATTCATGTTGTGCATCACCTCAGTTAGTTCGTTGCTACTCCTACTATGGATCATTATCAGAAAGTCATGCGTATTCTATGGTATTTGAAAGGTACTCCTGGTAAAGGGATATTTCTCACTGTCAACAACGATTTACAGATTAAAGCTTACAGTGATTCCGATTGGGCCAATTGTCTAAGATCTATTACTGGGGATATAACATATTTAGGTAACTCTCCCTTATCTTGGAAGTCTAAGAAACAACCCATTGTTTCCAGAAGCTCAACAGAGGCTGAGTATAGAGCATTGGCTTCTACTGTCTGCGAAATTCAGTGGATTACTTATCTCTTGAATGATTTGAAGGTTAATTGTTCCAAGCCAACATTGATTTATTGTGACAGTCAATCCGCAATCCAGATTGCTTCAAATCAAGTTTTCAATGAAAGGACCAAGTATATTGACATAGATTGTCATATTGTTCGTAAGAAGGTTTGTGCTGAAATTGTTAAAAATTTTCCTGTTTCCTCTATCATGCAGTTAGCTGACATCCTTACAAAAACACTTTCTTCTACCTTGTTTAAACATTTAAGTGGCAAGTTAGGAATGAGTAATATATATTCTCAGCTTTAGGGGGGCTATTGAAAATCGAACATCCATACTACATGGTTTGCATGCAGTTTTCTGTGTCGAATCGCTTAACGTGTCTTTGTTCTCACTAAAGCGTAAGTTTCTTTTATTTTTATTTTTGTTTTGTGCTTTGTTTCAACTCTATATATAACTTTTATGTTTTGATGATTAACATACAAGTAAATAAATTATTTTCTTTGCGCGTGAAAATAGATGCTACAAGCCACGATTTCCTTGCAGAAAGCATGATCTTTGATAAAATTAGATAGTTGAAATATTTCTTGCACGAGATATTGTTCTCTCTCTATAAACGAAATACGTGATAACGTATTACCATTACATCTTATAACTGTATTTTGATCATTTTAAACTGTTTATAAATATTTGAATCTATATCATTCTGTCTTATAGTTGTTGTTATTACCGAGTATTTCCGATAAATTTTATCATCAGGGAGACACAGAGTTATTTACACAAGATAAAATGTTCATCTTTAACTCAACTTTAAAATAAGGAGTCATTTTTATTTATAAATTATTTAATTCTAATTCACATTTAGATCCCTATATGTAACAAGTCTAATTACGTTTTGAAATCTCTAATCCAGTAAGTTCAGGAAGCTTTGAATACAAAGTTGTTAACAAATTTGATAACTGATTAAGAATTTGAACGTGTAGGAGCTTTACATATTGAGTACAACCTGATTACCAATAGTTCACAACACATTTCACCATCTTTGACCTCTTCTATAATATGTCTCGGAATGATTGGTGAGTCTCACTACTTGAACCTGATGAGTGAAGACCATAAGCACTGGTGGTTTCACTGTACCCATTGGAGCTGTATTTCTGAGATGATAATGCCAAGTTAAAACTTCTCATGTTCTGCTGGTATTGGTTGGCATCATAACCTAAATAATTTGACCAATTGTATATTGTGGTATGCCCCGGTGTAACATCTCCAACAAGGTCGGTTAGAGAAACCACTCCCTCTAAGGCTCCAACAATCTGTTAAAAATTTCCAACATTGTGGTCAGAGGCTCATATGTATTTATACTACAAAATCACAGCTGGAGAGGATTTTATCAAAGGAAATCTAGCTACTAAGAATTAATATTAATTGTCCGGTTGTATGTCCTAATTGAATATTGAAATATCACTACTCATTTAATTATGTAAGAGGTTTGGGGATACATTGATCTACTGAACCTATCTATTTAGCGAGTTTGAAGCAAATCCAAACGATTTAGTCAAAGTTTTAATATTATTGACAAATCTTAAGTTTTTATCCTTAGTATTACTGTATATCTAAATATGATATTTCGTTACAGCTATTTATTGTCCTAAGATTTTTTTCCAGAAATAATTTTTCTTTTAATTATTTCATATCTTTATGTAATCATCATTCTTTCATAATTACTGTTGTGATCTAGTGATGGATTTACGGAATAAGTTCTAATTAGCTTAATTCTTCCATCTTTCTGTCCTTATGAGTTGCTGATCGAAATGAAAGACAAGGGACAGATTCTTACTTGGCTCATACGAGGTCGAAGTCTGGATGAATGGCGCACACAAGCAGCTGCACACGTAACGAGTCTAACCATCTCATCAGAATCGAAATTTTTCTGCAACCTTGGATCAACAAGGTTGTCGAAGTCATCATCTTGTAGTGCTTGAGCAAGCAATGGCCTAGCCTGTAGTGCCAATCGCAAGGTCATTTTAATACTCTGAGGGTTAGGATCAAAAGAAACTTTTTGTGCAACAAGAAAAATATTCCCTCAAATTCACTATTGCTTTGAGTTTTGTAAAATATCTATTATCTTCCTTATAATCATCCATACACATGTTATTGGAAAGAACTTAGTCAACTCACCCAGTCAACCAAGCTCTCATTCCTTAATCCTGCTGCAGTGATTGGTGGACGACCGGTTATAAGTTCTAAAAGCATGACGCCGTAGGAATATACATCTGATTTATCTGTCAATTTACCACTTGATGCGTACTCTGGAGCCAGATATCTGCAACGGAACTTTTGGTTTTGAAATTCTAAAACTTGGAAGGAGGGCATATTGATTCTAAAACTTTGAAAGTGGCCTTACCCAAAGGTTCCCATCACTCGGGTAGTGAGGTGACTAATGCAACCATCGGTGTCTGGTAAGATTTTTGCCAAGCCAAAGTCAGAAACCTAATACAAACAGAAGTTCGGCATCAATAGATCTATTGAGTAATCGAGAAAGATAGGTCTTGGATCATCAGTTACTAACATAGGAACACTTCATGTGCTGTGTGATGCACATAGAGAACTGTATAAAAATGAATAATAACATCATCATAGAATAATCAAGGGAACAAGATTAGACTTACCTTGGGTTCAAACTTAAAATCAAGAAGAATATTAGATGCTTTGATATCACGGTGAATAATTGCTGGATTACCTGCAACCATGATAACATGATTAAAAACCAATTACCATTTTCCTTATACTCATGAGCACAGTACGCTTATATGAGATTTGAGTATATAACATCAAGGAATGCTATATGTTAACTGCAGATCCTGTATCAGTTTCTAACTCAAGTGAATAATTCTTACAATCTTCATGAAGATATGCCAGCCCTTTTGCAGATCCGAGGGCAATTTTAATTCTCGTTGTCCATCCTAAGAAGATCCCCCCCTCCCCTGCAATACAATTTTATGTCATCTTCAGGACCATGCAACTGTAATACGGAACCATTCAATAAACCTGTCCATCTAGACAGGACAAAGCAAGGGTAGTAAAAAACCAAAAACTTTTTCACGAGAAACCACCAGTACCATCAACAACAGACCAGAAAAGCTTTGGGTGAGTTACTATAAATTACAGACTTACCATGCAAGTGAAATTCCAATGTGTTATTTGGAACAAATTCATAAACAAGCATTCTCTCTGCCCCAGTAACGCAGTATCCAACCAATTCAACAAGATGTTTATGATGCACTCGGCTAATTGTCTCAACCTCAGCTTGAAATTCTCTCTCTCCTTGTTGGCTTCCTGATTTTAACTGCTTAACCGCAATTTGTTTTCCACATGGGAGAACTCCTTTGTACACATAGCCAAAGCCACCTTCTCCAAGAAGGTTGGACTCAGAGAAACAGTTAGTGGCCACCAATATTTCATCATACGTGAAACCACCATTCACGGGACCAAAGGTTGCCCTTGGAGCATGGTTTGGAATTGCTTTCACAGAGACTGAATTAAAAGAACCAGAAGTTCCACTGTCTTCTGTAAGATGTGGTGGCACTCGAATAACTTGAGATCCTGCACAAATTTAATGAAACATGAAATGCATTGAACTCTGTTATCCATCACCTTTTATCTAATAGAAGGGTTCATATAAACTATTAGCTATTCGTTTTTTATTATTGAAGTTTCATTTCACTAAATATGCAATAAAGATTTGCATTACAAGTTAGTATGAGTTATTAAAAAGAAATTTTGATTGGATAAGTGGCAAAAAGTACATAACAAACTGATGTTAACTTTTGTCCTTTAAATTTATCACAATTTAATAAACAAACAAAAAGGGATAAGATTTTCTAACCCTTGGATTTAAAAGAGGGTGGTGATTCCTTAGAGCGACCCGTGCATAGATTCTTCTGTTTGTTTTTCTTCCTATTCCTGCATAGAACTAATCCAACACTGAAAACAAACACGAAAACGATTGCTCCAACTACAAGCCCAACAATGAGCCCATTAGACACGTGGAACGTTGAAGCCTTCCGAAAATCCACAGCCACCGGCAAATTCACTTCCGGCTCCGATAACGGCAGCGCGGGGCTCCACGGCGTTGCCAAGGTTGGTTCCGTGGTGAATGGAAGGGGTAGAGGTGGTGCAGGAACAGTCGATGTCGTCACCGCCGCCGGTGGCAAAGGCATTTCAGGCAATGCAGGTGGAAAATTGGCGGTCGGAGATGGAGGCGATGGCGCAACTGCAAACGGCGGAAACGACGTCGTTGCAGGCGCAGTGGAAAAAGGAAGCGGCGGTGGCAGAGACGCGGCGGTCGGACTCGGAGCTGGAGGCGAGAGTGAAACAGCGAACGGCGGAAATGGCGGTGTGAGAGACTCCGGCGAAGGAGACGGCAACAACGGCCCCGTCAGAGGAAGTGGTGTAACTGAAGATGGAGGTGGCGGCAAATCTTGGACGAGTAAATTTTCCGGCGACGGCGAGGAGGGTGCTGGAGGCGTCACAGCTGCAAACATGATGGTATTTGTTTTCCTTTTCTTCGTGCAAAACAGTGGGTATAAGTTTGAAGGTGAAGAAGAAACTGATGCACGTGAAGAAGCGAAGGAACATATGGATGAATATTATAGCGATTGTTTCGTAATTTGCATTGAAAATTGAAAAGAAAAGTATGACACAGCAACTCTACGAAGCCATAGCATGTAGCCACTAATGAGTAGTGCAATCCAACTCTAGTTAACACCTTTTTCTCTCAACCACATGCATCATATTTGTGTTGTGTTGGAACAAGATAAAACTAATAAAACATTTGTAATTTTATGTTGGTATAGTAGCAGAGAGAGTGAGGTGCATGTGGTGGTTGACCTTTTCGAAAAATTTAATGTAATGGTCCCATGGAGTGAACTTTTTCCAGAATGTAAGATAGAATAGAAGAGGGAAAGAGAAGAGTGGTTGAGATTGAAAAACAATAAATGAAGGAATCATGGTTCTCCAGTGATGGGAAAAAGATGAGTGGCAGAGTGGCAACGAGGCACTCTCACCTTCAATCTTAGCTGCTAAACACTCACACACACTTACAAGTATTACATTTAAAATCAAATAAAACTGCATATTGTATTTGGAATATTAAAAAATAATATATACAGAACTAAGATGGAGACACTTCACAACATGGTCAATATTTCTTGTTTTCAGCATCCCGAGATGTCACATGTACCTCGTAACCGCCGCTTAAAGTAAAAATATTACTAGTAATAATAGGAGTTATGATATTTTCACACCAAAATAATAAAAACATGCATTTAATAACTTATTTTTAAATTTTTATATTATCATTTATTTTTTTACTTTATTTTTTTTATCAATCAACAAAAATAATATTTTGACAATAACAATATTTTAAAATTATTAATAGAATGTTTATAAAAATGGATTATTAAATCATTTTTTTCTAATAATAATTAATCTATTTGGTAGTGTTTTTTTTATTCTAAGTTATTCTAGGTTCAATTATAAGTTAAGAGTAATATAATATCTAAATAATAATAATTATTTAATTAAATAAATATGTTTTTAACATATTAAAATAATTATTATTTAATTAATTTACTCTATTTTTTAAAATTATTAAAAAAAATAGAAATAATTAAAAAATATATATTTTAGAAATTTTGTAACTGATTCAACTAATCCAACTCAGTTGAATTGAATCAAATAAAAAAATCCAATCCAACTAAACTTAGTAATTGTTGTATTAAATTACCTCATAAATTGTCAAAATTTAACCCAATGTGTATCTTCTTATTTTTAATATATTTATAATACTTTTTAATAGGATATTATTTTACTTTAAGCGCGTTAATTTCAATATTCTCTTCACAATTTATTTAATTAAAGTTGAAGTTTTAAAAAGTACACTTTTTATAATTTATTATTTCTAATTTATTTTTTTACAATTTAAAATTAAATAATGATTATAACTTGATATTAATTTCATGTGCTTACAATTGTATGAAAATAAATTGTAATATTATAAAAACTAAATTTAATTTAATTAACACAATAAATAGTATTTTTTTTACTGAATAGAAATATAATTTGTTTGTTGATGATCATACTTTTGAATGTTTTCATAATTTCACATTTGGAAAATTAAGTTGTTATTCTTATGTAGGGTTCTTAATTTTAAAACCCTTGCCATGTCACATCAGCATGCTCCAAGTTTCTTATAATATCTACTACATCTTAAATTTAAAATTTAAGATTCTTACATTAGAAATGCTCTAAATAAAAGAAAATGTTCCTAGCCACTAGCCAAATTAATGTTTGTTTAAGTGTTTAACTTTCTGGCATAGACTTTTTTTCAAAAACAAAGATCAAAGACCCCAACATTTCTAGTTTTGTTCAAAGCACGCAACATCTCAGTGTAAAGTTTTGGTGAACAATTAATCAACCATTGCTCTCAATAAAACAAAGTTCCCATTAGGACAAATGTCAATCTTTCACTTTTCATTTTTTACTATTTTTTATTTTCTTATTATATTCATTTTCTTTTTCTTCTGCTCTATTCCTACTATTTTGTAAAAGGTTGAAAAAGACTTCCAGCTTCAAAAGGAATTCATGGGCTCCACCCCAATTCATTCTCTTTCACTTACCTTTTTCCTTTATATAGCTACCAAAAAGCTTAATATTCTTTCTCACATTAATTCTACCTTCATTGTTGATAATGTTATGAATAACCTTTAAGCCTATTTATTTGTTGTTTGCTCTATTTTTGTCCTTAGTTTTTTCTTCTTCTTCTCTTCTTTTTTGCTTTTCTAGTAATGAAAAAGGATTATAGATAAGTTCATTTGTTCTTCTTATACTTAAGAGGTATAGAGGCATCGGAAAAATCTTTATGTGAAAAACTTTTAGTCTCGGATTGGATTCAAAATGTCATACTTTATTGACTGGAACATCAAGTGGAATTACATATATTTATTAATGCCAAGAGGCTATACATTCAAATCCTACCTTGCAAAACATGTAATATTCATCAAAGTAGTGAACTTGTTAGGTTATTAAAGGTGACAAAATTGATAATTTGAGATGATGTTCGAATGACACATAATGTTTATTATGAAAAACAGAAGGTAAAAAGAACAAAAAATAAAAAATATTAGAAGGATGATAATGTCACACCATCTTTAAAAACTCAAAAGATAAGTGAAAATAATTATTCATCACTTAAAAAGATCCTCCAAGATAATAAAGAAAAAAATTGTAATATAAAGATATGATTATTTATAAAACTTAAATGTTAGTCTTGTATTTATAAGATATAGAAGGTGTGTTTAAGAAGTTATAAAGATGTGAAAGAGAACCTAAACAATATAAACTAGTGGTTAAATTTAGTTTATGACAATTAACCAATTTGGTTTTAAACATGTTCAAAACTTAAAATTATAACATTATGGAGCAAAAATTTTAATTTTTATAAAGAGATTTTTTTATTCATCCTTCTCTAGCTTCTTCATATCTTATTCCTTTTTATACTTCTTTGATGTGATCATTTTTCATTTCGGGGAAATATTTTTTTTAACAAATTATCCTAATTATTTGAAGAGGAAATTCATATGAAATTATCAATGCCACCATCAATCCTTCGTAATTGTGGGAATATTTCCAAATTTTAAAGTTAACAAGAAATATGTAGGAAGACCTTAATAATTTTTTAAGTGATTATTTTATTATATTATATACATTAGAATATGTTATAATTTTTATCTTTTATTATTTTTAACTTTTTTTTATAATGTTTTAAAATTTAATTAAGCTAAAATTGACCCAATATAATATTAGACTACATAAAGAATGGATCGTCAATATTTTTTTTAATTAACTCATAGTGACATGAAACTGAATCAACTACACATTTAATAGTTTTTTAGTAGGGAAATATGTGATTATTAATTTATATTTTATTAAATAATTTTTTTTAATAAATGATAAAATAATTTATTAAATTATTATATAAAAGGGTTAAAAAAAATATCCTTATAATGGTATAGATTTGTTAAGTGCCGTTAATGAGTTCTATATAAATGAAGTAAATGGAATTCAACATTAAAAGAGAAATTATAAAGGGGTTTTTTTACCAAAGGGATTTTAAAAAATTTTGATTTTATTGAAAGGGTTGAAAATTTTAAATTTTTCCAAAATGGGTTAAATTGTGGGAGGTAGAATAATTTTACCCTTAAAATCGTGTTTGAAAGCACAATTTTTTTTTTTAATGTGCTTTGAAGCACAAGTTTTTCTTTTTTATACTAAATTCATGCTCTCACTTTTATTTTTTTGGAAAAAGATGATTTTTTTTAAATATATTATTTATTAATAATTATTTTCAATTGAATTATTAATTTAATAAAAAATAAAAATATTTAGATAAACATAATTAAATTTAATTCACTATATTTATATTAAAATATTATATGCATATATACATTATCACATAAAAAATTAATGGTGAGACCTCGTCCCACAAGGTAGTCTTCTTATTTGTCGTCTTGGTCTATGTGATTGGTCTTGAATAGACTTTTGTTATGCTTGTGTAATATGCATACGACCTTGTGATAATTGGGGTTGAATGTTTGTTCGCCTATCGTCATCATCCTCATCCTCCTTTTCATTTGCATACTACATAGGCATAGTAGTCATGAAAGGTGTTTGATTGTATATTGATAGTGATGTCATGGAAGAGATAAAAAATATGTTTGTTTCAGATGGAAACGACGTAAATGTACGAGGAACTTGTCCTCCAAATTGAAATGGTACAGGTAAATTTTGAAGTTGACCAACAACATATCCAAAATATGGATAAGGTTGTTGATCACTCAACTGACCAACATATTGATGATTCGACTTACCAACATGGACATGACTCGACTGACCAACATGGACATGACTAGGTTCGTCAATATATTAAGATTGTTCCTGTTGCTCTATATCGTACTACCAAAAAATAAAATCAATATTAGTTTGATATGAATGTTATATATATAAAATAAAATTATTGATATACTTACTCCGTAATCTGAATCTTCTTCTTGGGTAAAGGAAATATATTTGATAGTATGCTGAAAATACCATATCATATTTGTTGTATTTTCACGCAAGTGGTCATTCCCACTGAACTCGTTTCCTTAATTAGTCGATT